GTAATCCATCGCATCTGCCGGCACGTTCTTGATACATCGCGTCTGCCAGTGTGCCTCGATGTATCTCGTCCGTCTTGTAATACATCCCCGATTGCTGGTAAGTTAGCATCTTTGAATACATCATACCCACCGTAGCTTATGATTCTTATAATATATCGTGTCTACCAATGTCTTGTAATACATTGTGTCTTCTGGTAGCACCTCTTGATACATCACGCCTACCAGTCTCCTGTGATACATTACAGTGTGTCCCCATTTGTATATACTCTGCTACATCCGCCCAAGACTTCTTACAGTGTTCGATCAAGGCGGTGCGTATATCAGCTTGCCGATGAGCATATGCGATACGCCTTCAGTATGCTCATGGCTGGTAGCGAATGCGAGAGAGTGGGTGCTTGCCTCATCTGTCCAGGCCGCATTCTCGCACGTCGAGACCACAACTGACTCTCCCACCGAAAAAGGCCATAACCCGCCGCATCTCTTCCTCGAGAAGATCGCACTCTTCACTCCACCGATGGGCGCGCGCACGCGATTTGCACCACTCGATGCGCACGGCTTGAAAAATGCTATCAGCGAAAGAATGACTCGGAGTAGATTAGTTTATGCATACCCTCCAAATCGTCCGCGTCCTCGTCGGAGGCGTCATCGCGAGAGAAACCTGACGTGCGCCAGATCCAAGACAGGGTTCGTCTGCCCTCAGATTCTTCTTCAAGACTGTCTTGCATTCCGCGGACGTCGCTGTCGTTCAAAGGACGCAGGAACTTCCGCCATTTGAGGTCGTCCGTTGGTCAAGGGAAAGCAGAGCGGCGTAGGCAGCACGGTATCGAGTGGTGTCGGCGTCGATGCGCGCATCGACAGTTTTGATATATGTACGAGAGCGAGTGTTATATCGCTGGCCGCGGACGTCCCGGTCCTTCACGCCGTAGAGTTTTGAACGAGCACGGAGATGTTGCTTCAGCTGCTCCAGAGTGTCAGTAGCCTGTGCGTGACGAAGACGCCGTTCGATGTCATTGAGGCGGGGTCAGGTGGAACCGAAGCCACATTGACGACGGCGGACGGAAGGAAGAGAAGGAAGTTCTCAGGATGAACTGTCCTCACAGACGTGTTCAGGGTTCGTAGCTGGATGATGCCGGGCATGTAGAGATCTTGGAACTCTCGCCAGGCTTGATCCTAAGCTGTAAGTTGTTGCGACGGCGGACAATGTCTGCGTGCTGCGAATCTGTACCACTGTTGCCGATAGATGCAGCATCTTTGCGAAGGCGACGCCTGTACACGAGGCTTAGTAGTGTAGTCATAAATGTGTTCGAAGTAACGAACTTACTGAAGGTCTTCGATTTCCAGGCCTGCAATGATGAGAACACTTGGCGACACCGTGTCATGGAGCATTGTGAATGTTCCGTTGTTGATGGCAGTTGATTCCTCTTCGGCGAGCGTGCGGCGGATAGACGCAAGCGTCACAGCTGTACGATTCGTGAGATTCGGTCGAATTGGCATTCGTACAAGGCACTCACGGTGCCGAGTGCCCACGAACGGATTGTAATCGGCTCCATTCTCCCAAGCCTCCACTTGCTGCGTCCACTCAGCTACATGCACAGAGTTCATGACCTGAGTCAAGTCCTGGAACTCGGCTACATGTTTGCTGCGCTCATCGACTGCGTTCTTGACCCTGATGAGCAATGTTTTGGCTACAGCCAAGTCAATGCAACCTGTTTAGCATATGTGAACCAACACGTACGTAACTGAATGACTTTGCGCCAGTTGTAGTCACCGAACACGTCATCGAGGACGTCCCGACGCGATCCTGGCCCCATCTCCTTCGTGCTACCCGAGAATCCGTTGACAGCAGCCCAACCGCGCTCCACGGCTTCTCCATCTGTACGGCCAACGTGCTTGATAAAATTGTATGAGTACTTCGTGTGACAGCTTTCTTGGTGAGCCGGAAGGTGAAATTTCGGGATGAGGAAAGTGATCGTTTGTTGCTCAAAGTTCCATTCAAATTCGTACTGCATCATGCGGCTCCATAGATTAACACTCCATTGACAGGCGATGTCGTATGAGACAACTACGCGCGTCGTGGAGTGCTTACGCAAGCTGCTCGCAAACAGATAATCCATGTTCACGTACCTGTATTCATCAGACTTCAGTGGTAGAACAACAAGAAGCGCAAAAACATACCGCTCTCCCTTTTGAAGGTCTCCTACGGAACACGGTCGCTTCATGTCATGACGGACACATTCGATCGTCGCGACGCCGCTAGCAGCAGTGCCCTGGCTGCCTCTCATATTCGCTAGCTTGACGGCGTCGTGACTGTTGCACGAACTCTTCTCGATCTTCTCGTGCTTGTCGTGTACGTCCAAAAACGCTTTGTATGCCTTCTCCTCGACAAAGTATGCATACCCTCTGTTAAGTCCGGGATCGACGGCGTCCGTAGACACGTCCTTGCGCTTGAGGCGGAAGTTGGCATCTATCCCGACGAAGAGGTGATACGGCCAGCTGTACATGTTTGATTAGTGACACTGTTCAAACGAATTACTGAGTCATACCTTTTCTCTGGCGGCGCATCTTCCCAGTCTGACGGAAGATTGATTCCGGGATGTGGGCAGGCAGGACAGGCGACTGCACAGGCGCCAGGTTCGGTAGCTCTGGCACCACTTGGATCGTGCCCACGGCCGAATCATTTGAGCATTTTGAGATGAATCCACATGCGCGCCATGCGCATGAGACTCCCATATCGTCCCTATTGGAGTACAACCCGTCAGCGTCGTTTGCTATGCTACGCACGACTACGCACCTTCTGGTCCAGTGTCCCTGTATTGTCCGTCAACCGCAAGAGTGTGTTGTAGAACTCGAAACCGGACGCCTTCGTCTGGTTGTGCAAGACGTGGTAGTGCTCCATGAGACGAAATGTCGCCGCCGTCTTCGGATCGACGCTCGTAGCCGGCAGTAGTCTCGAACGGAGCAGCTGAATGGGCTTCGTTTCTTCACCCTCGCAACCACAGTAGTCAAGGGCCACTTCATGGATTCCAGAAACATCCAGGACGACGAAGTCATCGCCGAACGCTCTCTGCGGGTTTGCACATAGGTCGCCGACTGCATGACCTAGCTGGATCCGCAATCCCAGCTGTTTTAGAGTGATTCTACGGAGTCGTGTCTCATCCCACATCTGCACAGCTAGTAAATGCCGAAGCAGATCAAGTGAGACGCTCAAGTGACATACCTTGAGTCGATGGAACGGGTTGCGACGATGTCGAGTAAGGGTGCAATCTTGGCAGTAGAACCGTGGGTCCCAACAGTCATCGCAGCGAAAGAGTTGCGGCTCCCCTGCCTCGCATCCAGCACAAGTGTCGTACGCAAAGTTGCCACGTCCCTCGTGACGAACGAGCTCAGCAAGCCACTCATCGACGCAGTTCCTAGACCATTCAAGGAGAGGATGGTCCTATGAACGTGTGCGAGTGAGTGTGGATTCCATTTCAAGGATGACGAGTGGACACTTACGCTAGCTGTGTGTTTTCGGGTTTTGGTTGCCTCTAGATACTCGCCAATATCTACGAAAGAATCAGGAGACAGCGTGCCAAGTGCGTCGTCTTCGCCGAGTTCCCTCTCCCAGTCTGGATCGACGACCGGGCCTGGCACAGGAACATCGTCAAGGGCCGCGTTGGTCTGATGGGCAGAGACCGAAGGTACAGGGTTCGTGCCCGCCGTGGTGGGATCTGCCACAGGGATGCGGGATGTTTGAGTGGATATCCCTGTTGTGGTGGTTGCGAACGATGTGTGCTGATGGAGGGTCCCTAGTGTTCGACGTCTGGGAGCCTCGTCATCGTCATCATCACCGTCGTAGAACCTCACGCCAACATGCCCACGGCGCCGCTTCTTTGCAACGGGGGCCATGACGAGCAGCCGGGTGAACTCACGTACTCAGCTCAGGAATAATTGGACTGACCCCGACATTCTGGTGGATGCCGCCCACCGCATTGATGCACCGAGATGGGCGCGATCCTGGACGCCACTGAGGTTTGATCCAGGCCGCGTAAGCCAACCAACACTCACTGTTCATAGATCATTTATCTGGGGAGAGAATTAGGGCTACCGCATTTGTTCATTCAGAGCGGTATATGCACTTACTCGGACGACAGGTGATTGCTTCCAATCCGGCGCATGGTTCCATTTGCATGCGTCCGGTCTCCGTCTTTCGTGCAGGGCGACGCCAGGAAGTCTGATATCCTGCAACGAGTCGGATTGAACTCACCATCTCCGAACCAGAAAGTGTTTGTACTTCTTTTCAGCCCCTACTCGCTCCAGCCATTGCCTTGACCGCCGACTGGTGCAGCGCAATACACGGAGTCTTCTCCGCCGAGCCAGGAATCTGATACATTAGAATCGAATTGAACTCACCGTATCCATGGAGCTGGAAAACATCCGTTTTCAGCCATTACTTGCTCCGCTATTGCCTGGACCGCAGCTTTGAAGGCAGAGATATTTGGGAAATGGAAGACAGCTTTGTGTTTCGCATCGTGTTCATTTTGGGAGGTCGGCGAAGGGAACGCGGCGTTCACCGAGATGCCACTCAATTGAAGCGCATGTGACGCTGGCGGTACAGGAGCCAAAATTAGGACGCCATCGACCTGAGACTTGCTTGACCAATCAGGGGTGGTATAACGCTCAGCTGAACCAAAGGTCGCCGAGCTCAACAGTGAAACCGACGAAGAACGGGGCTTTCAAGACGAAAGAGGGCCGATGAGTGCAGAAGGGGAAGACGAGCGAAGCACCAGAGTAATTTAGATAGAAGCGCAGTTGCGAGGTGGGCTGGGGCGAACGTCGTTGTTCATGTGCAAGTTGAAGCTAAAGAAACACCCACCGCCGGCTAGTACTATCATGCTGGTCACCTTTGTGGTCAGTCACCACTCCTGCGTATTCACCTTGGCGTTCACATTCAGAAACAATGCTCTTGACCTGAGCTATGTCCAGGACATCATACTAACCTTGTCGTACTAAGAGTCTGAGACATTTGTGTTGCGGTCACGTAGGTAATGTTTGATATCGACCTCCCCTTGAAGTTCACGAAGTACATAGTGAACTAAGAGTCACATCGGTTTGAACAAGTGCGTGAAACATATGTATGATTCCGCTAGCTATGCAAACAAGTTCATGCACTGCCAAGGTAATAACATGTTGTCGAATGCAGCCTGATACACTACGTAGCCGTTCTGCAGTACTTCTAACTCCCGAGCGAGTGTACATATAATCTTCGCGGCCCAATGCATCCCCACAGCCCGTGCGATTACGCATTCATAGTGATCTGTAAGGCCCTCCGAGTCTCCGTTACCTGTGCCCGTGTCCCAGTTGTGTATACGTGCCTCGATCTCTGTTTGGACCTTAGCTACAGTGTCCGAGATGGGCTGATCCCTCCACTCCATGAAGCGTTGTGCTCCGTTCATTGTGAAGAGGCGATATTGTTGGCCATTCAAGGCACGGGTCAAGTCTTGTGCTTGATCTGTCTCGTCCGGCGCAAACAGTTCATCGCCCTCGCCCTTGTCTTGATCAGCCTCTCCAACTCGACGCAGCTCCGAGGGGATAGTCAGGGTGTATGGAGGAGTGTAGAGGCCAAGATCGGTCTTCACGGTACCACGCCGGCATGCCACCGAGATGCTGAAAGGTGTTCGCGCAAGAGTAAAGATCGCCGAAGGGACGGCTTTGATTCGTTTGTGGAAGGGGCTAGTACGATTCCCAGTGCGGACTGCATATGCGTCGCGACTCACTCTGGCTCGCCTCGCACGACCACTGTAAGTTGTTATTGTAAGTGAAGTGAACTCCGTATCTCAATGACTCTTACGAAGGACTATCGGCGTACTTCGCTTGCTGAGCCCGTTTAACGGCGAGTCTCTGCTCTGACGTGTGGTGTTTTGCACGTCGGCCCATGAGTACAGTGGGAGATGTTGAGTATTAATGGCGGGATGCAAGGGCGGCAACACACGACGGGGCACAGTTGATCGCTTTCGTGTCAGGCTCAAAAGATACTGCAGACGTGATGGTGTTACATGATTATGTAACGGTAATACAACCTCGGGCGAGCAGCGGACCGTAATACTGAGCTGGGGCGACGGACATGATATCAAGAAGATGAGCGATGGAGTGATGGTGCAGCGAGAAGGGATAGCCCGAAGTGACAACGAGGGAGGCGAGTATGGTCCGAAGCGGCAACTACAGGAAGAGGAACACAGTACCATTGGTCGTCGCCTCCACGAAAGCTGCCAACGCCACAGCAAACGTCGGGTAACGCTGGAACACGGCATTAGGTACGCCGGTGACAAGGGGCGACACGTTTGGCCTGTTGCAGACACGAGTTCAGGACCACTGAACAAATGCGGAGTCGTTACACTTACCAGCCAGCGAAAACACCGACAGCACGGCCTCTGGTCACACAGTACCAGCGGACACCACTCTCGCTGCCGCCGTCCACACCAGGGCCACAACCGCATGATGGTCGAGTGCCGCCGGAGCCGCCGCAACCACCACCTCCACCACTCGGGAAGCCGCCGCCGGGGCCGCCACTGATGGGGCCGCCGCCGCTATGCCCACCGACACCATGCCCGCCGACACCATGCCCGCCGACACCACACCCAGCAGCCAACGCAGTCGGCTGAGGTGCTGCAATATGCGGCGGGGGTCCCTTTCCATCTGCATGTTCCTGATGGGTCCTGTCAGACGCAGTCTGGCCACCCCTCGGCTCTCCTATGCATTAATGTAGTCAGTGATCGCATCACGTAGTCATTAACAAAAAGAATTGCTTACCGCGCGTAGGCATGTCCACAGCCTCCCATATTTGGCGGTCTGCTCGAGGGTGTTCAAATCGCAATGCAAGGCAAAGAAAAAGGAAACTCTTACCCTCCTCCTGCTCCGCAAAAACGCGAAGCTGGGCGATCAGCAGTTGCAGCTGCTCGACACTGACAACGGGTGCCGGTGTCGCGGGGTTGACATTGATGTCCTTAGAGTCCTTGTCCGAGTTGGCCATCGCAAGCGAAGAACAGTGTGGGAAGGAGGGAGGTGGGGTCGGATCCTGGTCATAGCGAAGGCCAAGGATCAGACCTTTATAGACCTTGCGGATCGTGGGGAATGAACGTACCGTGCCCATTGGACCATGCCTCGTCGCACGATCTCGGATTTACTGGACTTGGGCAGCCGTGCTACCCCTCCGGAGTGTTCGGTTCCCTCAGGCTTCGTACTTCTATCTCACCTATCGCAGCTGCCACCGCCACCGCTACGCCACCGACTCGCCACTGATTCGCCACTGCTACGCCCCAGCGCGATCGCGCCCCAATTGCCTTTGGAACGCCTCCGTACACGACCACATCAGTAACACCGCTCGGCGATCGACATGCACTGTGATGCTTACCGTTTGCAGATGAATGAGAAGATGTGCTCGTTTTTCGGGACTTGCTGAGCGTAGTGATGTAGACGTGGGCCGCCCTACCGTTGCCTTGGGAGGGTGCAGCATTGCGCCCGAGTGGACTTCATAAGGACGAGCGAGAGACTGGATGTATCACCGCTCTCCTGCACAGGTGTCTAGCTGTCACCGTGCGCACTCTCCCGATCCCATCTCATCGTCAGATGGCTCCGAAACCTTGGGCGTCCCCAGAGCAGCTCGTGTTCCTAGAGGCTAGGGTGGTGTCTTACCGTAAACATCAGGCTGAGCAGAGCTTGACACGTTTCCGTGTTGAACTCTATCGCGAGTGGTTCCAAACCTACCCAGAGAGGGATGTTGTGTTCCCGGGGCGCACCGAGGCGCTCACCGAGGAGGAGCTTGCGATCGTGGCCAAGGCTAATGAGGATCGAAAATCAGTGAGCATGCCTGAGTTTCCCAAATGCATAGAACATAGCTGACCCCTTGTGGCAGAAACTGCGCAACTGGTATAATAACCGGATGGGCCAGAAGGGAGGAAGGCAGCGACCACACGTGTTGACTTGTCCCTGAAGCCGAAGGGGACACGCGCTCTCCAACTCGTTGAGGTGTACTCACGGAAGTATTACAAGAGCCGCGTCAAACACATAGTCGCTGCGAAGATGAAGCCGCGAGGCTTGCGAAGAAGGAGTACACGAGGGGACAGAAGCTAATCTTAATAAAGCACGAGACCTGCGAGGCGTTCAAGCACGAGACCGACGAGGTGAAGGCCGAGATCGAGGGCGAGGTGCGTGCGGTGAAGGAGGCCGAGGCGGAGACTCCTGGAGAAGGTGAGAGCCAGGCCGACGGTAATATCAGCGAGGCTAGTCGTCAAGCGTATGTCGTTCCTGATAATGTGACGTTTGCATATGTCTCATCCATTTCTATAGTGTCATCGACGACTTACCGGCGGTCTTCGGACAATTCTTCGGTGCTGTCCACGCGAAGACGAAATTCTACTGCATGGTGTTCGCTGTGGGCAAGGAACCAGGCAGCGACAAGATGACGATCCTAACGTGAGTGAAGTGGTCGAGACGCAGGACAAGCCATACTCACCAGGGTTCCTGAAAGATATCACTCAGAGCCGCCTCAGCGGGAGTATAATTTCAGCTCGTCGATACCCGACTTCAAGGGTCGCTTTGTTCGGCCATTCGCCGAGTATGTTAAGGACGAGTGGAGTGAGTGCATTACCTGAACCTCGAATGACATCTGCTCACTTACCTGATCTTCACTTTAGCACGCGATGAGGATGAAGAGAGAGAGGAATCCCAGACACCCGAGCCGGACACCGGCGCTCCCAGCACCACAGGCCCTGAGGACAACCTCGAAATCGTTGCGGGTGATACTACCACCACCAACTCTGCGCACGGGTTGCTGACCGCGGTAGCTGATCCTCAGACCGTCGAGGAGGAGCAGATCATCGAGGAGGAGCAGATCGTCGAGGAGGAGCAGATCATCGAGGAGGAGCAGCTTGAGAGCGCCATCGAGGACCCTCAGAGCGTCGAGGACCTTCCGTCCGTCCCTGTGGATTCACCTACCACGGTTGTCGACAACATCAACCCTTTGGAGCTGGTTAGCGATGCTGTCCCTTCCACATCTTGTGAAGGAGAGATCGTGGCGCCTGAGCTCACCGGCGCCAGCGCCCCCGATTCCTCGGTGGAGAACTCCGTGTCGCGGTCAGACACCGACTTCCCTCCTCTGGCTGCTGACCCCGATTGGGACGAGTCCACGTCGATGCTCGACCTGCTTCTTGGCCCCGCTCCTAACCATCTCTCTCCGTCCGACGTCTACTTCTCGCAGCTCGATTACTCTCAGTTTCACCCTGATGCTCCTCTACTTTTCCCAGCTCAGTTTCAAGCTACCCCACCAGTTCGCCACGACTTGCGCTATCAGTCGGATGGTGGCGACGTACGCACTATGGCGCTGATGGGCAACGAGAACTACGTATTTCCTTCATCTGCGAACCCCATGGCCTCGATGCCACAGTCCTACTACCCGGCGCCTTCTGCATACCCGGCCATGTTGATGCATGCGTCGCTACCTACAGGAATGGTACCATCGTACTTCCCTCGCGGAGGCTGGACTGGGATGCACGTTCAAGGCAACCAAGTTGGAACAGGTAGCTTCCACTACAATGTGAGTTCGTTCGACTCTCTTGCGACTGCGTGTCTCCTGACTGCGCTGCCTATTGCTCAGGATATGCCGATGACGCCCAACCTGCGATGCCGACGACCATCCAGCCTCTGCCAACGACGACTATCCAGCCTGCGATGCCGACGACCGTCCAGCCTGCGATGCCGACGACCGTCCAGCCTGCGATGCCGACGACCGTCCAGCCTCTGCCAACGACGACTATCCAGCCTGCGATGTCGACGACCGTCCAGCCTGCGATGCCGACGACCGTCCAGCCTCTACCAACGACGACTGTCCAGCCCGCGATGCTGACGACCGTCCAACCTCTGCCGACGACGACTGTCCAGCCCGCGATGCCAATGATCGTCCAGCCTCCGCGGCCGAGGACCGTCCAGCCTTCGCCGACGACGGCCACGCAATCTCCGCCGACGACGGCTGTCCAGCCTCCGCCGACGATGACCGTCCAGCCTGCACTTGCGCCGCCGACAACCACCCAGCCGGTGCCGACAACGGTTGCCCAGGGTGCGCGTCCACCTCCTTCGCCGCAGACGATCACTCCTGGCACGGTCAGCCCTGGTGTCCTCTCACTGCGGGAGAACATTCCCTCTGTGACTAGTGCTCAAGTTGTCGAGGGCACCGTGTCTTGCTCTTCTGATACTTCACAGGGGAGTGTTGCGGCAGCACGACCACAGCGCATGCGGCGCCCACCTACGAATCCCGACGGCACGCGACCGAACAACCTGCCTGGCGGCCCAGACACGGAGAAGGAGAAGAAGGAGAACCGTGATGGGGTGGCGTTGAATGGAAAAAGAAAGAGAGTTGTTGCGGCTGCCAGTGCATCACCGAAGAAGAGGAAGGTGGGCTAAGCTGATACTCATTCTTCATTTGCTCGTTGCTATCTTCTTCTTGCCGCCTTCCCGTGGTGTCTTGTTATTTGGCCCTGCATCACATTCCCCGCTGTTCTTGTGTGCCCATGCCCAATATCTTCTCCCTACGTACCTCTTATAAACTCTTGCGATCTTGTGGCCTTCTTGATAGTATCGTGTTGTCATGGTTGAGGAAGTTTGTCGTGTAGTGCTGTACCAACAGCCATCCTGTGCATAGCTTACAATACACTCGACGTCTAATGTATGGAAATTCATGTGCGAGCCCACGCGGAACCGTCTACGCCTCTTCATTAATGTATCGTGGCTACGACGTGCATGTTCAATGACCTCTACATAAGTGATGAGTACTCTAGCCATGCGTATACAGACTCACTCTATAACAGCACGATTGTGATGTATCAGGTGTATGCCGGAGGTACTTGGCAGCGCGTACGTCTCGATATCATGTAAGTATGATGTTCAGTCGCTTCAACAGAAGAAAATGGTTGTAAGTACAAGTTACGAGGATCGACTCGCCTCAATACAAATGTCTCAGGACGCATTCGGTTTCTAACTACTTACATATAGTGGTATGTAGTACGTACTGGTACGGAAGTGTCAAGGCCTCAATGATCGAGGCTCGGCGATGTTCGCTGGTGATATGAGGAACTACGACGTTGAGCGACCGGCCTGCGCATCTATGTTCATCAGTGGACCTCGTCAAATGCGAGAAGACGTCGGGCTGCACCGTGACGCAGGGCTCAGGAGTGCCATTGGTGGAAGAGGAGGCGGCCATGGCAGGTGAGTAGTAGTCGACTTGGGAACTTGGGTTATTGAGGCGAGTGACAGGTATCAGTGAGCAATGAATGACGGCGTTCCATGGGTGGCAGAGAGGACGTGGAGAGGGACTCGTGAGGCAGTGGGCGAGGACTCGGAAGGGGCGGTGTGGCCGTGAGAGGGAGGCGAGAGGGCGAGAGGGTGATGGCGGTGAGGCCATGTCTGCTTATTATACGGGCCATTGATCAATATGTCGCACGATGTCGAGGGATGTATCACTGACCGGTATGTATCAACATCGAGGCCGGCTCCATTCACAGACGTTGATACATTGCAGTGCCTGCAGTGCGGTCTGCCGATGTATCACCTGCCGGACTGAAATACATCCCCCAACGGCTACTTGCAGACTGATACATCCACCAGCGTCCGAGTCGGCGAATTGTCAGTGAGCGATGTATTGCCTGCCTGGGCCGTGATACATCGACCGCCCCTGCACGGTTGGCTGATGTATCGCCTGCCTGTACCGTGATACATCGACCCGCCGCGGCACGGTTGACCGATGTATCGCCTATCTGTACCGTGATACATCCACCAGCTTGGGCGATGTATATGGTAATGCATTGAGAGACTGTCTCTAGACTACAACGATACATGTATCATTCTGTAACTCTAACTACAAGTATATTATGTATCAATATGCCGGTGTAGCCTGTAGGGATACACCGGCCGGACCATTTGAACTGGTTTGAGATACGCTCGGCCGGCTTGTTAGAAACCAGTCCGGCCGGCCTGTTTGCAAGAGGAAATCACAGCTCCGGCCGGAGGCGGCTTTACTGTTTGCAACGGTCGAAATGCACTCCGGCTGTACCGTTAGTATCGAGTAGGTACCACTGAATAATGTGGTTGCAGCCAGTGCGTGGGTTCTTTGGTTTCATCCAAGACGAGCTTACAAGTGTGCTTTTGGCAAGCTTGAAACATGCGGAACCTGGCCTCACCACTACGACATCTGGCGATCCCAGCTGAGTCATAAGAATGACGTTGAAAAGAGAACATTCCTCGACTGGGTCGCCATGGGGAACAAATTTGCTTTCGTGGCGGGAGGAGGTACGTAGTGTACAACTTTCTTAGATGTGTGCTGAACAGTCATTATTTGGCCAGGCTCAGTATATCTACTTATCATGATTGCAGTCCAGAACCTCAGAGTTCCTTTGGGCGCGGTCGATGGCCATTCTGCCCAAGACATAGGCAACATGCTACGATGGCCGGACGGTATGCTTCTGCAGTATGAGAACAGCGCCCAACTGACTAATCAAGCACACAGACTCACGAGCGGGACGTATGGTAAAAGATACAGTGATCCCAACTGTATCACTCCTACAGAAGCACTACCCGTCGATGTTTGAAGACCTCTTCCCAATGTCTAAGACAGGCGGTTCAAACAGTACCCTTGTCCTAGAGCGAAACGACACTTTTTTTGACACACTCAAATTCAAGTAAGTCCTTCCCCGTGCAGTGTATGATGAAATTCATATTCCGGCAACCTTTGCAGTGCTTTCAAACTTGTTCCAAGGATGCATTCGGCTTGGG